AGAACAAATTTTTGAAAGAGCATTCTTGAACAAATGAAGAACAGTCATGACTGTTGACCTGATGTCTTCACATCCACAATCCTCATAAAGTCTTGCTTGCAGGTTTATGACCTTGAAAGAGTGTGTGATTTGCTTTAATGGTCAATAATCGAGAAATCACCATATCATGGCAATCTAGTGGCCCAATAGGAAAATATCAGCAGTATGTCTTTCTGATTTAACATGGACCTATTTTTACTTAACTGGAGAGAGATGATGAGATCAAGACCCATTACTCTTCGAATGCACGTGTACATATTTTCTCCAGCAACAATGACCAGTCTTCACCTAGTTGTTGAGGACTCAACTCCATGACAACCCTAAAATCCTGCAAAGAAATGGTGCAGTGGGCTCTCTGTTCTTGAAAATCCAAAGGCCGACCACTAATCTGCATCTGCTGTTGATGACCTGGATCACGTGGTCTGATATGCCACTTAACAGGAAACTGCCCACTCCATCCATCTTGGTGCCATTACTTGGCATCATTGTCAAAGCTGTCTACTAGCATTAATTGAGAAAAGGAGAAAGACTGGAAACGGAAATTGTTGATGTCCAAGAGTTGAATTGAAGAAACTAAGTACAATACCGAACTGAAGAAGCAGTCTTGAAGATTGAAATTCCATAGAGATTTTTGAAATTTCAAAGAACCAAAGATCTGATGATGAAGAAGGAGAGAAATTCTTATTAATCAAACTCTCTTCGCAGCTCTTGATAGCTGCTAAATTTGGATATATCAAGTGATCGTCCGAAGGACCATGATTTGTGAACCTTCACAAAGGGTCGATTGGGTAGACTACTTTGATCCACATTTTTCAAGGACTACAAGAAACCCGATTCTTCCATACAACTTGAAGCAGTGACATCCCGTTTCGGATGCACTAGAAGATTGAAGAACAAAGGACCAAAATCTTTAAAATTCGAATGTTCTGCCGTTATCAACAACCTTCAGAAAACCAAGAATAATTCCAGCAGAATTCTGGAAAATGAAAAACAGTAGCATGAATCAATCTTTGCTCTAATACCATGTTAATTTCTCCTTAGTATAGAACTAGTGAGCAGTGAAAAGAGGAAAAGATCAAAATCATCTCCCTAGCATAGAACTAGAGAGCAGTAAAAGAAGAAAATATATTCTTTCCAGCATAGTACTGGAAAGCAGCAAAAAGAAGAAGAGATAAATTCAATATGAAATCATATTGAAGATTGGAGAAATATCTAATGAACTAAAAGTTATACAAAGTCTTGTATTTATAGAGAAGAAGAATAACTAACTAACCAAACTACCATAACTATCTAACTAATTTGACAGCTGGAAGAATCTGGAATCTTAGCTGAGCTGGAGACAACTGGAAGTTGGATTTTGGTTAACTGAGTTGGAAAGAATCTGGTGTATATTCTAACATCTACTACTAATTTTATGTAAATTTATCTGTAATTAAACATTGATCGTTAATTTTCGTTGACCTTCTTGGTTATTGCAGGTTGGGAAGTTACGGAACATTCCCAGGGCCTCTATAGACTATAATGCAAAACTATGTCAAGATTAGTTGTGCATTTACCTTTTGGTTTGAAGCCGTTATAAGGTTATTAATTGATTAATAAGGCATTTTCGCGAACATATTGTTGTTAATTCTAATGCTTCGTCGTTGCATAAAAACATGTTGGCCAAGATGATTTTTTGACTATTATTAGAATGTTTGTTCATATAATTTGTTGGCTTGCGTACTGTCAAAAGCATTTATGATTTTCTTGCTTCACTGATTGTTGTGTAATGGATGTCGAGCCATGAATTTCTTGCTTTACTAGAGATGGTAACTTAAGTGGAGTTGTATTCAGATTTGATAATCTAGTGATGAATGAGTTCGACGGGAAACAAAAGTGATGGTGATGCCCTTTGAAGCAAATTTAATGACTAGATTGACCAAAGCGGTTGTGTGGCCTTGTAGATGGAACAAGATCATGATAGCATGGGCTTTTGAGGATTCTTTATCTCTGTCATTTTTGAAAATGAGACTTCTGAATAAACAAAGGGTTCGAAGTGAGTCGGAAGTAGCAATGACACATATGCACCTAGTTAATACTCCAATGAGGCCCTACGACTTCCATGGAAAAGCAACAAAATGTCACTTTTTTACATTCTCATTCCCATAAACACATTTGATGCATCAATTGAATTGATTCAAAAAAATATGAATTCTATGCAAAATTAAAACAAGATTTGAATCCATATATTTAAATTTTCAAAAACATACCCATTTGCATCTGGTTAATTGCTCCAACAAGACACTAAAACTTTTTAATTGGAAAAGTAATATTCTATCATTTTTTCACATTTTCATTCTTGTAAATACTTTGGATGCACCAATTAAATTGATTCAAAAAAATACGAATTGAATTTAAAATTAAAAGAATGTTGGAATTAGTATATTTAAATTTTCAAAAATATACATTTATACATTTAGTTAATTGCTCCAATAGGCACTGCGATTTTTCAGAGATTGTCACTTTTTTCACATTCTCAATCTCACAAATATCTTTGATGCATCAATTAAATTGATTCAAAAAAATATGAATTGAATGCAAGATTAAAATAAGGATTGAATTCGTATATTTAAATTTTTAAAAATATACACATATGCATTTAATTAATTGCTCCAAAAAGACACTGTGACTTTTTCACATTCTCATTCTTGCAAACACCTTGGATGCATTAATTGAATTGATTATATATATATATATATATATATATAGCAAAATGCACTATTTTTATTGGTAAATCCTCATTTGTGGTGGAGGAAAATCGTGGTTACAATCAATTACAAAAAGCGAAAGAGGGCAAGTTACATTTATCTAAGCAAATGCAACCAATTGTAGAAACTGGGAAACTAGATATTGATTCTAAAAAATTTGAATGACCTTGAGATGCAAGATGCATTAAAGAATCAACCGCCTGATTTGCTTCGCGATAAATATGTGATATATCAATAGATATAACCTGAGCAAGCTCTAATATATCCTCCCAAATAAGTCGACTAGCCCAAGGTATAGTAACATGATGATGAAACCAATGAACCAGCAGAGTAGAATCCGTTTCTATAGCAACCCTCTCTATGCCAAGGACATATCATAGTTGAGGGCCTATCTTAAGAGCTGATACCTTTGCTAAAGTGTTAGTACCAACCCCAAGAGAGTGATAGAACCTAAAAATCACATTTCCCTGCCAATCTCGAAGCAAACCACCACAACCAGTCGGGCCTGGACTTCCAGCGCTAGCACATCAATAATTAGCTTATAAAAACCATATTGCGATGGGAACAATCTAACAAGAAATGGAACTTTGACTCATATTGGCAACACAGGGATGTGTAGCTTCTATGAATATGTAATAGAGAGAGACATTTTCTTTGATTTTAGCATATCGTTCAATTCTTGTAGCCAACATTTTACTTTAGCACAAACTTTGTGCAAGCTTGCGACCTCATCCTTAAACCATGCATAATTTCTGGCCAACCAAAGCTCCTAGGAAAGAAGAGGTGGGATTAGGAAGGCTACATGATGTTCCTGTGTGGAACCATCAAAATGAGCATTTTTGCCCCCAAGAAATATTAGTAGGAATTCTAACACCAATTAATCTCCCAAAATATTGCCATGCTTGAGAGGCTATAGGACTGGTTAAAAAAATATGATCTACCGTTTCTGCATGACCCTGTGAAAAAATGAATCTTGTTTGCATTTAAGATTCGGTCACCTTTTTAAATTTGTCACTTTTTTCTGAACAAAATTTTCCGATCACTTTTGAAAGTTTGTCACTTCTTTTAAAAAATTTTCGTCCTTTACTTTTCAGTTTATATAACTTTTTTGAGGTTTTGTTACCTTTTTTTTTTAATATTCATTTTCACTTTTTTAAGTGACAAATGTTGTATACATTTAATTTTATAAATTATTTTTACTTTCAAAAACTTTTTATGATTAATAAGTTGGCTGAGTTGGTAGATGACGGTGGTGATGAATTGACTTAAATATGATTAATCTTTTGATTTGTATTTTGTTGGTAAACTAATTTAAAGTTTTTTTTTTAAAAAAATTTTCGTCACTTTATTGAATTGATTATGATGTTTTAATTGGGGTTTTATAGTTTTTTTGAATTTTTGTTTCTTTTTGGAGTGTTTATTACTCCTGTTATTTTTATTTTTATCAATTTTTTTAGTATTTGTCACTTTTTCAAAAATTTATATCAATTTTTTAGTGATAAACACCTCTTTTTTTTTATTTTTTTATTTTATTTTTTATAACAAAAGTGACATTGTATATCATTCTTTTTTAATAAATGGGACACTGATATCATTTTTCAATAAAAAAAAAAGTAACACTTAGGTGACACCATGACAATTAATTTTACAGTGTTTTTCACTTCCAAAATACTTTTCATATGATTTTTCAAAAGATCCTTTTTTTAAAGGTATTTTTGTAGGTTGCTCTTCAAACATTAGGGGTTATTTGACAAAACTTTGAAAAAAAGCTGTAGCACATAAAAAAGTTGATAACTTATAATTGAAAAATTGATACAAGTCATGGATTCTATAAAATGTATGGTTAAAATTAATTGTTGAATTTGAAATCAACTTTTCTGTAACGTTCGAAGCTTTCCAAACAAGCACCAACGTACGTCAATGATTAATTTGAAAAAGAAAAAGAATAAAAATCTCATCAATTATATTTTGCTCTTGTTGACTCACAAATTTTATAACTTTCCAACCACACTTTTTATCAAATTTTTCAAAAGTTACCAAAAATTTGATTTGTAACGGAACCAAACAAGGGCTTTGTAACTGTGTTCAAAATGTACGCCGGATAATGCAGTCGGTGAATCACTAGCTACAAATTTAAAATAATTTTCAAATTTATTGAATGAAACTTTCTATTTAAACAAATTACATCAATTAATGTAATCGAGCCATTATTAACTCACACATCTTAATCCATCTGCATGCCTTTCTTTTTATTTTAATGTGGCATTATTATTATTAAAAACCTCCCATAATAAGTGAACCAAATGAAATTTGAAACCCTATTTCTTGCACACAACACCTCTGCCATCCATTCCACTGCCACATTTCATGCGCGGTAGCTCCAAATTGAATGCAGAAGCTTGATCTTTTCCGCCTTGAATAATTTGGGAAACAGCACAGTCTGTGGCATAGAGGCTTGAAACTGCAAATTCTCTTTCCCCTCCAAGAACTGGCATTGATACACCCATTTTCACCCTACTCACATAATCATTTCTGTAAGTCTGTCCCAAAACACCGTTTACGTTGCTACTCAGGGAATAGAATTTGAATCCCAGTTCAAGATGTGCAAAGCAATCCTCATTTGTGATGCCATAGTTATGAACTCGAGATTCTTGTGCAGTAATGGAAACCACTTTGGCTGTGATCTTGACAATCCCTTCAATTTCGACTATTACACTATTAGTGTCAGCATCCCTTTTCATGGTTGCCGCTGGGACAGTTTCAGATTGCCATTTCGCTCCTTCGGTTTCTGGGAGAAGGATGGCGGTCCCGTCCAAGCCGAGGGCGAGGCGGTCGTTGGCTTCATCCCATGTGGCGGTTTTCTTTGCTCCGATGAAGATATTGTGGTTATTGAACAGGATAACGATGGCCTGAACCCAAGTGAAGTCCCTCTTCATGTTTTCGTTCTTTATTCCAATGAAGTGGGCGTTGATGTGGAGGTTGGGGTCTGTTACAAGACAGAAATCTTTATCCTTTTTGCCATGGAAGTAGAAAGTGATGCCATCACCTCCGATGAAACGAGGATCTTGACACACAGCCCCCGGATAATCACATTCTGCATTTTCAATAGCAAATATATATATTAATCATAATTAGATCAATGTCTATATATAACAAAAAAGTGCTACATAACACAAAAAAAAAAAAAAATAAAAATAAAAATAAAAATGAACAGTTGTTTCGCAGTCAAGAAATGAACTTGAAAATAGGGTTTGAATCGACTTACGACAGACAGGTTTGCAAGAGTTACAATCGACTTCGCATGTGGTAGGGCAGGAGCTGGGGCATACATGTTCCACTCCATAACATTGAGGGAAGTCTCTATTCTTGCATCTTTTTCTCCTTGCAGCATTAATATCGGTGGAAGGTGGAGTGTAAGCGGGCGGGGAAGGTGTGTTCGATGGAGGAGTAGGTGTCGGATATGCGGGAGGAGTTAGGGTAGGAGGGGATGGTGTTTGTGCTGGAGGTGATGGGGTTGGTGGTGAAGGTGTAGGAGCGGGTGGTGATGGAGTTTGTGTTGGTGGTGAAGGTGTAGGGGTTGGTGGTGATGGTGATGGTGATGGTGTAGGAGTAGGAGTAGGGGTAGGGGTGGGTGGTGATGGTGTTTGTGTTGGTGGCGAAGGGGTAGAAGTGGGAGGAGTTTCGGGAGTTACTGGCGTATGTGGTGGAGATGATTTTCCATTACCTTTGTCATCACCCTTATTATCGCCCTTATCGTTACCTTTATCATTGCCCTTCCCGTCATCTTTACCATCGCCCTTACCGTCACCCTTATCATCTCCATTTCCATCGTCCTTACCGTCCCCCTTTCCATCGCCCTTACCATCGCCCTTTCCATCTCCATTTCCATCGTCCTTACCGTCACCCTTATCATTGCCCTTTCCATCGTCCTTACCGTCACCCTTATCATTGCCCTTTCCATCACCCTTATCGTCACCCTTTCCATCTCCCTCGTTGTCACGGCTTGAGGGTGCGATGGAGGCACCAGAGCAAATAGGCTTGCAAGAAACACATTCAACTGTGCAAGAATCAGGGCAGAACTTGGGACAAACATGCTCCAAATTATAACAATGCTTGTATTTTTTGATTAGACACCTTGCATGGCTTGGATTGTTAGCTATTCCTGGAGGAGTGTCAGCTTCAACTGCTATTATTAGCACTACCAAAATCCATATCACATTCAGCTTCAATGATTTAGCCATTGAAAATAATGTAGGTATCTCTATATCGATATCGATATCGATATCGATATCTATGTATTGTATTTTATGTTGATATCTCTGATTGATTTTGATATGGCTACAACTCCAATTTATAGAAGCGAAGACTTGAGAATGAAAATAAATTCCTATTATTTCGGATCATAATGTTATAATTTAATGAAATAATTGAAAGGTAGTGTTTGTTTTTTAATTACTCAAATTACATGCTTTTTATTTTTTAATCAAGTCAAACTCTATCCTTTGCCTTCCACTTTGTGTAATATCACTTTTAGCATCAATGTGACATTGCTTAGCCGGAAAGTTGAAAAATAGCACTTTCCAGCAGATGTAGTTGGTTTTATTTACTTATGTATATAATATTAATTATCAAATTTTTATTATTAATTAATTTATTTAATTTTTTGGTGGGAAGGTTTCTGTTCCTTAGATTGGGAGTATGTTCATAAAAGCATTGCATAGGGTCTGCATATATAAGGCCAGTTTGATTTGAATAAAAATAAGATTTTTAATAAATTTTGATATAAACTGATGAAATATACAATTTAGAAGTTGATAAAAATTGCGAATTCCATAAAATCAATTATTAAAATTAATTGTTGAGTAGATTTTTATAACTTTTTTAGTTGAACCAAACAATGACTAAATATTGACTATATCAAAAATGGAAAAAATCTGTTGTGATGATCATTTCCTCCTACTCATAATCATTATTTTATTTAGAAGAAATTTTTCTCTTATTAGGGTTTTATTTATTATTCATCAAGCATTTTCTTTCTTTTCATCCATCATGGATGTGTCTACTTCGACATAAATCAGTTTAAAAAATGGAGTGATTTAAATCTGAAAACCAATTTAATCCGCACTTAGTTTAAAATAAAATGATCGACTTGAATTAATTGCCAATTTAATTCCTACAAGAAGATAGTGAGAGAAATGACACTTTGCTTGTTGTATTGTTCATCAGGTTACAAGTCATTAATCAGCAAAAGCAACCTTTACATCCATGAAAATGGATTGATATCTCATTCACTTGGTGCCCAAAGAAACCCAAAAACGTAAGCACCACTTGATACAAATGTTAAATAATCTTTATTTTTTATTTTTACTGTCGTCACATACCAAACATGCAATCAACATAATTTACAGCAACAAGATAGAAAATAGTAACGGTTATACATAGTTGAAGCAGGATAGTAAATAGAACTTTACTGCCCCGTCCAGGGTGCCAATTCGGGCCAAAGGGGGCACCAATTAGGCCCCCTATTTGAACGTGGCCCTATCCAAACATCTTTATCCTAGTAAATATATTGTTTCTGATTACAATTTACAACCAAATCAACATAAACTGATAGAAAATAGTGATGGTCAGGCTTGTATAGTTTGTGTTACAAGCTGCAAGCAAGATTAAAAAGAAGTAAATTTTGTATTCACTTTCAAACTTGCTTAAAAGTAAAACTTCCTATGCTTAACAAAGATATGTTTCTCAGAGAAAATTTCACGAACAAGGAGATCACCGGATAAGTATGCATCTCGTTGGTGCTGCGTCAGCCTCAGGCATCCTTAAAGGTAAACATTGGAGAAAATAAGCTCCGGGTTTAGCTTTATCGAGATTCAAGCCTTCCACGGGAATTACATCCTAAAACATGACTGATTAGTAAAATGATATAACAGAACACGGCTTGCAGTTTCTCGCATAAAGCAGTAGGCAGTAAATCGTTGTGTGGAGAACAAATGTACTAGAATCTTATTTGAAACTAATTTACAAGGAATCTAGATCATAATTTCGGAGACATAAATCTCGGCGATACATTCCACCAATTAAACAGAAAACTTTGATTTTTATTGATTCAATTAAAGCCAAACGGCCAAAAATCTTTTTTTTTTTCTGGAAGGTGTATAACTTGTGAATGCAGAGAAGTATTACCTAGCCCAACACCTGATACACATCACCCTTATCTGGTTTTACACCAACGGATAGGTAATCAAGTCCTACAAAGAAGAATGAAAAAACATGCTTCAGTGCACCACTTCTTTGCAATATAAAAAAACCATAGAAATTTTAGCAAGCATAAACAAAAATTAAATTTTTTCACCTGAGAAAAAGAATACAATCCTTAACAAAAAGAAACTATATGTATAAAGATTAGCATACCACAATTTCAAGGTCTAGCTGAAGTGGTTAGTGTGAAGCCTTACCAGGTCAGTGACTTGAGTTCGAGTTTTATTTGGGGAAAGGGTGAAATTCAAAAATAAAAAGATCAAATTATTCAGGAGATTTCTTTTTTCCTTTTATTATCTACTCACATCTACATATCTTTATTTCAATGCAAGCATTAAAAACTTATTTTATTCAAAGACCAAACAGTCCATTACCAATAAGTTTGATGCTGGTGTTTTTCACCAACCACTCTGCCCCATCTTTCTGGAAACCAGTGTAGCTTGAGTCGAACTCTGTTTTATACATAAGTTTCCTGAAAATGCAATCACTTTAGTTCAACCAGGTTGTCCTCATATTACAAACGGAATTATGCCCAAGAGATGTTTCAGTACTTTTACTATAATTATATGACAATCGGCTGATCACTGAGGAAACATTGAGATAATGCATAAGTTTAATCAAGTTCAAAAATTATATTTGTGAATCCCACTTTGAATGACATCTAGCGATCCCTCTCAAGTGGCACAGCAAATAAACTCGAGTCCAAAAAGAGCCATGGCCTTGCAACAATGTCTTAAACAGGTTGCGCAGTGACTAAAAATGGAAAAATATTAGAATTTGCAAATAGAACATAAGATGAATACCACGTTTAAGAGTTTCTGTAATGTGTAAAATACAAAGATTGACAAATATTTACTTGCCAGATGCAACGTGAGAATGAAAAAGAAACAAATCAAAACAAACTACAAGCTTATACTGTACCAAACAAATCCAACCCTGCTAAAATATTTCCTACTTAGCAAACTAACCAGACTAGAATAATTCATGAAAACTCATGCAAATAAAGATTTTGAACTCATTTTGTGTTTATGTGCTGATCATATGCAGTTTAAACACTAAAGTTTGACCAATCTTGGAACACTTGATTATAAAACTTTCGATGTGAATTTTACCTTTTGGTATTCAGTGTTCTGAAAAGTACACGCTTTATTCCTTTGGGAATATTTAAGCTCCGCATAACTTCAGCTAAAATAAGCAAGGGAACATATTTTAAGTGCTATAAGAAATGAAAAATAGTTAGATGCTAAAACCGAACAATACAGCAATCAGCAAAAGTCACACTTTCAAGCTGTTTCTCACCAAATTTACAGATTAGTGATCAAAGCCAAAAATAGAATGAAGATCAATGAAATTATTATGTGAATTTCCAAACTAAGACTCTGTTTGGCAACCAATATATAAATCAATTTATAAATTCAGTCAAACATTATTTTCAGTCACATTCAAAATTACTCATTTATTATTCATACTTCATTGAACCACGACTATTCCTCTTTATAAATTGATTTTTTAATTTGCCAAAAGATGCTTAAAATGGACCACAGTTAAATTAAAATATGACCACATTTCCAACTCAAACATTCTAAGATGTAAAGGAGTATCTTTAGGCTTAAGAGGTGTCAACTGCTTATTAAGGCTGAGACAAGGCCAAGCTCAATTCCGTAAACCTGTATATGGTGCGATCATCATGGCACGAGTCACCAGGATGAATAGTCCGTTCGTAGCAAGGAACATATTATTTTTTGAGAATGGGCTCCTATATCTAAACAAGTTGATAAGTGCGTTTTACGCACTTATTTAGGTCACAAAACATGGATAATTGTTGGCAAATATGTTAAAATATGACTTAATTCTATATAAATTATGTTTTGCAGAACAACATTGATGAATATAGTGAAATTTAGGAAAAAATGAGAAAAGGGGCTAAAATGGAAGAAAAATCAAAGTTCGGGGACCGAAGTTCAAATAGCTGAAAGATGACCCGGAAGAAGATACGAAAGAGTCGAAGATCAATTTAGCAAAGACATGAAGTATTAGAAAAGGAAGAAGTAAAAAAAGAGGTCAAGAAATGACAAACGGAGTTTGGGGACCAAAATGTAAAGAATGAATTTTCACTTGTACTATCCTATAGCATAGTTATATTCTCCATGCGGTCACATGGCATGATTCAGGGAGTTCCAAGGTTGAATTCATTGAACTATGGTATAGCATGCGATTGTACTATGCTATAACATAGTACATATTCGGAGGAAGAAATTATAGCTTCCTTACATGACTCCAACTCTCATGTAAACATGATTTAGGACGTCTTTTAAAGACCCAGGGCTGTCCATAAGTAGTTTACACGTATTATAAACATTCTAAGAGATTTTGGGAGGAGAGAAGATAAGAAACACGAAAATCGATTCCAAGACTTGAAGATACAATTCAAGATTTATTTGGATGATGTCGATTCTTCAACATTTCTTTTATTTTCTTTTTCATAACATACTAGACTAGATTTCTTTGTACAAGGAAAATGATGAACCGTGTATTATGCATTTTTAATATTGACATTATAAATAATTTTTGGATATTGAATGAATTATATGATTTTTCTTTTCTCCACAATTATTGTGCACGGTAGTTGTGTGAATGTGGTGGCTTATTTTATACAATCGAAAGAAAGAAATAGGCTCAGCATTATATAAATCGTCATAGGTTCCGATAAGGGCTAGAAATATACGGCTATACTTTATGTGAATCTTTTAAGTGTTCATAAAAATTTGTGCACTCTTATATGTTCGTACCCGTCATATATGAAAGTAGGTTCAACATTACTCAAGAAAGATTATTGAATAAAATAGGAACATTGATTCTTCAAAATTCAATCGTGTTATCAATGTAAAAAACTAATGTTAAAAATGATTATGACATGAAAATTTGTGAACCTAGTGCATTTGTCATTCATTAGAACACGTCAACTTTTATTTAGTATAATTTGCATTTGCTTAGTTAAATTCACTCATAATTGCAGAAGTATTTTATTTTAGTTATAATTTCGTCACAAACAAACATATCTTATTATTGTTATTTCGGTTAAGGTCGTGATAATTAAAATCTAACTAAATTAATCTCTCTGAGATGACACTTGGACTCAAATTCACTATATTACTTGTTAACGAATCATCCACTTACAGTGATTTTAATTCGAAAGATATTTTCGAGAACACAATTCATTTTATAAAGGATGATTTTTGTTGTGAAACTAATAGTTGATTATTTTTGTTGTGAAACTAATGGTTGATTCAATTCAACATAGGGCTAAAAGTATGTATGCTCATTTACATCCTTTCCATCTTTTCCTCACACCCCATCATGGTTATGTGTAATGATCCACACTATTGATAATTGAAATAAAAATTTACTTAATTATTGAAACTCGTGTGTGCATTACCGATTACTACAATACCATCATTCAAGATAACTGTTAATTATTTTTTTCTTTTTTTCCCCCCTATCAAAGTTGCATTTCTTTAGATTGCAAGCATTCTGTTATATCTATAAATTATGTTGCACACATGTGGCGAAGGTGGTCCCACGTTAAATGATTGGGCATTGATGATTTCAATTGGATTTGGCATATCAAATCAAGCAACATCTTTTTAGGCCCGGTCATACATCTTGGCCCATTTCCCTCCCTTTATACATATGTGTGAGGTCATCATGCACAAAAGATATGTTCACTAAAATCCCTAGCCAAATCCCCTCACCCATCTCTCTTGTACTCATTCTATCATGTTCCGGCAATGACTTAATTGTCGGAGTGCAAACAATCGCCGAACTTTTTCCACGCCAGTGACCTTTGCACACCTAACAGTAAGTGATGCCTGAGTGGACAGGTAGATGGCGAAATTCTATTGACCACTCGATCGAACAGATTCTGAAGTCAACATATTCAATTATTATATTTTGTTTTTCAATTATAATTAGAAGTTCTGAATTTTATAATTAAAACTTTCTAAATAAGCAAAAGAAGAACAAATGAAAAGCATACCAGTTATGTTCTTGTCCTTTGGAACTTCTACCACCAACACTGGACCTGTCGCAAGTAAAAAATAAAAATAAAAATGAATAAGCATATAAATTCATGAATATACAAATTTCTTTTATCTTCAACTAGACAACAATTCTTAAAAATTCCATGATTTACTGAAATCATTACCATTGAGAATGGTGAGGTCTAGTGATTCAACATCGGTGAAGGCTTTGACGTGAGTCCCGCAATCAGTACTCAAATTGAAGTTGCGGGTGTTAAAATCTTTCCCTTTAAGAATACTAGTGCTATCCTTCATGAAAGTTCCCAGACCAGTAGGCGAATCATATTTGGGCAAGCCAGGTACATACTCGTGAGAGATGTCGAGGTATTTGGCGTTAACGAAAACATCGGAGAACGCCAGAAATATAAGACACATTGAGGCGGCGAAGGTGGAGCAAGAGTTCATCCTCATTTTCCTGGGGTGGGGTTCGGAGAGTTGGCGGTGATTCCACCAAAGAAAATCGCAAATCAAAGGAATGGAAAGGAAATTACACGGGGGGAAATGGGGAATTGGGGGTGGTGGAAAATGAGAAGAAAAAGGAGAAGTGGAAGAAGAGGTCAGTTCATGTGAAGGTGGAGCTCTGGAATTTGTGGTACACTCGGGAAAGATGCTATGCCGTATAATTTCCCGGGAAAGAAAGTAGTAAATTCAATTGACACTTGTTGAACTTTAGTATTGTTACTACTTATTTCCTCATTTTTAACGGGTTACCTGACATACACTTCTCTTTTTATATAATTATCCATCCATCACTTGTTTAACTTTCATCCCTCCAAATGACGGAAAATTGACGTGAAAAACAGAAATTTATACGTGGTGAATATATTCTATTAAATCTTGAGTAACTCGACCAATTTTCATGACATTTCTCTTCTAAACTCAATACTGGCTGAAAACTCTTATTTTCTCAGCTCATTTCAGCTTTCTTTTTTAATTACATTTTTTATTTCTCTAACACAATTGATACAAATTTTTTTATTTTCTTCTGTGTTTTTACAAGTCCAATTTATCTTGAGTAACTATATGGAAAGATGGTTGAGTATTCATTAACCCGTGAAATATGAGTGAGCAAGTAACAACCAAGTTTAAAGTTCAGTGAGCATTAGTTAAATTTACTCGTTTATATTAGATGCACAGTTTTTCCTACTGAAGATTACTACGATTACATCGTTGTCAGAGATGGAACCGTCCGTTGTCCATTGGCGACAACCCTATCGGAATTCCGGCCTTCTTTAAAAGAAAATCTCATAAGTACAGGGGACTAAAGCTAGCCCTGGCTCTTACCCTCTCAATGGTTTGTCTGCTTGTCGATTTGCTATTTTTAGCCTTTGAATGTCGTAGAAAAACCAGAAATTGGGCAGTGAAACAGAATATTTATAAAGAACAGACTATCTTGGGATCCTTCTCTTTCCAAATTGATTCAACCACTTGGGTAGCTGATGTTAAGCAAGCAACATCTGTCCAAGTTCTAATATTTGAAAAGCTGCTGCTTAGTTTTACATTTGCAAACCTCTTGTTTGCAACTTGTCATCAGGGGCGGCCTTGAGGACGTGCGAATTGAGCGATTGTATAGGGCCTCAACATTGTAGAGGCACCATTTTTTTTTTATTTTTTTTTATAAGTCTCTCTCTCTCTCTCTCTCTCTCTCTCTCTCTCTCTCTCTATATATATATATATATATATATATATATATATTATAATGGTAAATATTGTTTTATTAATTTTAAGAGCTAGCCCTGGCTCTTACCCTCTCAATGGTTTGTCTGCTTGTCGATTTGCTATTTTTAGCCTTTGAATGTCGTAGAAAAACCAGAAATTGGGCAGTGAAACAGAATATTTATAAAGAACAGACTATCTTGGGATCCTTCTCTTTCCAAATTGATTCAACCACTTGGGTAGCTGATGTTAAGCAAGCAACATCTGTCCAAGTTCTAATATTTGAAAAGCTGCTGCTTAGTTTTACATTTGCAAACCTCTTGTTTGCAACTTGTCATCAGGGGCGGCCTTGAGGACGTGCGAATTGAGCGATTGTATAGGGCCTCAACATTGTAGAGGCACCATTTTTTTTTTATTTTTTTTTATAAGTCTCTCTCTCTCTCTCTCTCTCTCTCTCTCTCTCTCTCTCTCTCTATATATATATATATATATATATATATATATTATAATGGTAAATATTGTTTTATTAATTTTAAGATTTAAAATTGTATTATTATATTAAGTTAAAGGGCACAATATTTACCAAAAAAGAGTAAAAAAAATTATATTATGTTAATATTTGTTTAATTTAACAGATTATTGAAAATAAATCTTTAATTTAACATATATTGAAAAAATAATAATTTATAATTCTAAACTATCTTACTTTCAAAAATATTATAAACTATCTATTTTACTAGTCTTAATAACAAATGTCCAATTAGCTTCATTAATCAATTACCAACCTAAAAAGAAAATAAGTAGCCCAAAATTCAAATGATTAAAATGGAGAGTGAAAAGCTAATACTAAATCCCTTTTTATTAGTTCTCTCATTTTCATCCTTTTATCCACGAATAATAGTCAAATAAAAAAGAGAAGAAACTATATTGTTAATTTTTATTACATACTCTATAATAGTACAATCTATTTGTTGGACCCCGTTGTCCACTTGTGAATTGCTATTTATGATTTTTTTTTTGAAGAGTTAGTTTTTGTTGGATTATAACTGATTGTTGATTACATTCAATTTTTACAAATTTTTTTACTAAAAGAAACAAAAAATAACTTTTGATTTATTGACTTATGTGAGAAGATTGGATTGCTTTTCAAATATATTTATTGCTTATAGCATACTCTTGACAATTATTGTTATTGTTGCATTGTCGAAAAATATTTTTCAAAACTAAAGCTATTAAAATCTCATTTGTGATCAACCATGTCACAAGAACGAGTGCACTTGTGAATTGCTATTTCATGATGATGATGATGATTATTATTATTTTGGTTCTAGAAGGGTAAGTTTTTGTTGGGTAATAACTGATAGTTGATTAAATTCAATTTTTGTGAATTTTTTTTTTACCAAAAGAAATAAAAATAGCTTTTGATATATTGACTTATTTGAGAATATTAGATTGCTTTTTGAATATATTTATTGCTTATATAATACTATTGATAATTATTGTTATTGTTACATTTGTCAAAAAATGTTTTTCGAAACTAAAGCTATTAAAATCTTATTTGCGATCAACCATGTTATAAGAATGATTGAATGCGTTAGTTTTGATATTTATTAAAAAAGATTTGCTAAAACATATTGATTAGAAAGTTTAATTAGTGAGTTTATTTCTAAAAATGCAAAAATGCGAGAACAAATATTTTTACATGATTTGTTGTATTTTAAGATTTACATGTGGTAGTTGCTATATTTGATTTCAAAGTTTGCTCATGTGAAAATGTACCAAGAGGTTAGTAGTTTGGATAGTTCTCTATCGATGACATATGAATTTTGATGAAGTTCGGAGAATGTTTTTGAGCTTTAGTTATATTATTTTATTAACAATATGTAAAAAAGTAAACAAATTTTTAAATGTCAGATTTTCGGATGAAATGATGTAATTGAATTATTTTTTTATAAGATATTTTTTATTACACGAAAGGGGCATCGTTTTAAAATTTTAGGGCCGACCCTAGATGAGAGGAATAATATTTTTATTCAAATTTTCAAACCTGTTAACCATATCAAGAATTACAAATATAAAATATTCAAGGAACCAATTGACATTCGTAATCGTTTATTCATTCCATAGCACTACACGATAAGGATAGCATTATTGTCATTTTTACTCGATATGAAGGCTGTTTTTATTACATTATTCGTGAACGACTTCATTTTTGCCCTAAAGGTTGACGAAGCACACGTTTGATGAGAGGAATAATATTTTTTTTATTCAAATTTCAACGTTGTTGACTATAATCAGACTTGCAAATATAAAGTAGTATTGCCTTTTTTACTACACCATTATGTAGCATTATTGCCATTTTTACTTTATATGAATGCCATTTTTATCGCATTCATGAACGACCTCATTTCTGCCATAAAAAAGTTCACAAATTGTTAGGTAAAGTGAAATGTACCATACTGGATGATAATAAAAAAGAAAAAGAGCCCAGATTTTGTTGCCAATTGAGCTTTTCCAATTAAATTTTGCTACTTTGCTCGAATGGTTGACATCCTTTCATATGTTGTGAGTCCCCTGTGGCAAAAAAAAAAAAAAGATGGGGCCCCCACCATTGTGACAGTCGGTCACCCTCTCATCCAAAAAATTTGGGCACTGTAGCGGATTGTTTCCGATTTGGCATATCTTGAATCCCATTCATGATTATTAATGACCATGTACGCAAAGAAGTAATTAACCGTAGGTTCAACATATTATAATATACTATTGCCAATTGATTATATACCAACACAAACTTACAGAATGAATTTATACATTTACAAGCTCCATTTAACATACAGAGAGTGATCACTGCATAAGGACGCATCTTGAGGGTGATCCGTAGGTACCAGGGATCCTTAAAGGCAAGCAATGAAGCATGTATTCTCCTGGACTTACATCATCAAGTATCAAGCCCTCCACCGGAATTATAACTTAGAGCAATGTATTCAAAGTTAGAATTTCTAAACATGAGTCAAATGTAGGCACTACACCAATCTGCAACAATTTCATGACGTGAAAAGATTCACAAATTTGAACTACGCAGACCAACAGAATAGTAAGAGTGATTTAATTTATAGAATCCGAAATGGTTAAAATTCTTGCAGCATCAGTTTAGTTTTGTGTTCGTTTTTTCCTTTCTTCCAAAAAGTTAGCAAAGAAATGGAAATTTTTTATAAAATGAAAATATTCATCAAGATAAAGATCTTACCCCTATTTTCAACAAAACCTGATGAACTTGCTCTACAGAAACAGAAAGATAATCCATTCCTACAATTAAGACCGAACACATACATCAATAACAATCATTACCTTTTCTTCTCTCCCTTTTTTATGGTTGAGAAGGGAGGTCCATGCAGTATAAATGATTTATAATTAGTGGGGTGTGCCCCATGCTACCAAACTCGTGCCTTGGCACCCAATAGAAAAGTAGAGAAAATCGTATTTGTCTTGCCAATAAGTTTGATATCAGTATTATCCACCAACCATTGTGCCCTATCTGTTTTGAGTCCAACGTAGTCCTTGGCGAAAGCTTTTTGTTGCATCGGATGCTTGAAATGACGCCAACTTGTAGAAGCCCAAGAAATAAAATGAAATCAGGCTATTATTTTGTGATGATCTAGTATCACGAGTCTAATTCATTCAAGAAACGAGCTATGGAAGCTCAAACCATTTAAGATTTTGAAAGCGCAAGCCATAAATTAATTAAAAGTCCAACAATTTAAGAGATTAAGTTTAAGTAAATTTGATAACGAAGCACTGATGATATCTATTGAGTTTCAAACTCATGGGTTAATTCATTTTCTACAGGTTGAATGGATTCCTTGGGGGCGTGGATGATGGTAGAGGATAATGTAACATGTCATGGAGAAGTCGGTGATTTAATATCTTTAGTTGATTATGAAATGTTTACGTTTTCTTTAAAATAGATTCCTATAGAT